CCCTCGGCGGGAGCGCCTCCGCGCTTCCCAAGCGGCGCACTAGCGCAGTGCGCCACCGGGCCGGCCCAATCCTTAGGTTTTTTTAACCAAAGGTTATATTATTAGGAATTAAAAGATTTTACCAGGGTAGTTGCTTTTTTTGTTTGTTTTTATTTGTTTGTTTTGGTGGGTGGTTGGTATGGGGATCTGAACCCGTGAACTTGGTGTTATGAGGCTGCGCCTCATAACCAACTGAGCTAACCGGCCAGCTAGGATAGTTTTAAACAGTAACTGTCAATCAGGACATTTTTGGTTGTCACCCCTGGGGAGTGCTGCAGGGACAGCACTCCACACCTGCCACAGACAGGACACCCCCGCCACAGAGAATGGTCAGGCCCCGAGTGTCAGTAGTGTTGAGGTGAGAAGTCCTGCTCTAAGGCAAAGGACCTGCCTGCAGCACAGGTCCAGGGTGGGTGGTAGAGAGGAAGGGCCACTCCCTGCACACGGCCTGGGGGCTCCCTCCAAGGCAGGCAAGGAAGCTGCTGGCTGGGAACACTCCCTCCATTTATTTCACCAAAGGACCCTGGTCCTACCCTGTTGACCTCATTGTGGCCGTCAGGGCCCCGAGTGTGGGGAGCAGCGACGGTGGCAATGACGGGCTCCCTCTCAGTTCTAGGCATGGGGGCCGAGGTGGATTATCTGGAGCAGTTTGGAACTTCCTCGGTAGGTACCGGGCCCTTTTCGGCAGCCTCACCTGAAGCCTGTGTCCCAGCAGTACCCCTGTGCTGCTCTCACACCTCAATGCCTAAAACCCGTGGTGCCCACATCTCCCCCAACTGCAGAGAGGCCCAAATTTGGTAACTGGTCATGTCTGAGTCTCTCTCTACGGCCCCCATTTCTTGCGGTTTCTGGTTTAATTGGCATCCTGTGGTCACAGTAGAGGCCTAACCCAGGTGCTCAGCCCAAGACGAACTTGGAAGTGCTGAGCCACTGGGAACGTGGTGTCTCAGGCAGTGGTATGGGTGCATGTGATCTCCTGGAGCCAGTGTGCAGATCACCCCACAGCTCTAGGGGCTGTCATGTGTGGGGACAACAGTGAAACCTGTTGACTTCTCTGTCCTCCCTTCAGTTTAAGGAGTCGGCCTTGAGGAAGCAGTCCTTATATCTTAAATTTGACCCCCTCCTGAAAGACAGCCCTCATAGACCAGTGCCCATGGCTATGGAGACAAACAGGTACGCCCTTCTCTATCTGTGAAGCTTTTAGTGCCAGCCGGGGAGACGGGTGGCTCTTTCAAGGGGCACCATTTGATCAGAGACTTCTAGACTGAGGGGAGATGATCTGAATGAGAAAAGTCCTGGTAGCAAGTGCACATGATGCAGTGACCCTAAAGCCAATCTCGACCAACCCTCCGATCAGAGGATCCTGTCTTGCTAGTTATGGATGTCATTCTAGGTGGATTAAAGACCTAAACATTATAAAGAAAAAGTAGATCTCTAGAACAAAGGTCAGCAAACTATGACCTATGGGCCAAATGGGGCCCACTGTTTGTTTTTATAAATAAAGTTTTATTAGCACACAGTCCATTCCTTTACAAATCGTCTGGTGATTTCCACATTGTGACAGAGGCTGTGTGTGACCTCAAACCCTTGAAATGGTTATTGTCTGGCCGTTTGTGGAAGATATGGGCTGACTCCTGCCCTGGAAGAAAACGAGCACATTTACATAATTTTGAGGAGAATGGCATGAAACTCACGAAGCCAGGGAGGAAAAGAGTTTGCTGCACCTAACTGCAAAAACAAAGCCTCTGCACTGTGCACAGCCCACAAACACACAGCAGCTGGCTCTGCTCAGCCTGCAGCAGGCAGTGCAGGTTGGGCCGTGCTTGCTGGGACAGGCGAGCGGCCCTCAGGATGGGTGGGGAGGGTGGGGCTGGGGGCAGTGGAGGGATCAGGCTTGCTGGGTGTGGTTCTGCATTTTCTGCTATGAACCTTACTTTATTGGTTTTAAACCGAAAAACAAGCTGGGTTAGGACTGTACACATCTGTCCTTTACGTCTCGCTCAACACTGAGAGGGTGTGTGGTGACCATGGGTCCTGTGTTTGGTCTCAGCGTGCACCACATGGACGAGCCTTCCTCAGGAAACCCACTGGAGGCCAAGCTTGTGGAACTCGATTTCTTCGGAGCTCTGGATGTTCCTGTAAGTACACCAAGCCCTTTGGAGCAATCTTTGTGGTCCAAAGAGATGCCTGCTGTCTTAGACCTGTGTTTTATATTCCTGGGGGTCTGAAGCCTTCGGGTCAGTTGGTGGGGGTGGGGGCCACCAGCTGATCTATGACAAGTGGGGGGCTTGTCACGGGTTCCTCATCCTGCTATCTCCACTGCAGAGGAGCTGGGCCAGGTGTGGCCCTGGTGGTTAACCTATCTTCTGCCACCCCTGCAGGTGCCAGGCCCACCTTTGTGTGTCTTTGAGCCTGGGGGTCCACCTTTGCCTGCTGGGCCCATCATAGACCTGCTGCAGTACAGCCAGAAGGACCTGGACGCGGCGGTAAGGGCAGGGTCAGCGGCTTCTCTGTAAAACTTGTGGCTGTTCTGGGGATTGGCCAAGAGATGGGCACAGATGGCTCTGAGCGCAGGGCCTGGGGGCTGGCAGCCGGCATTGAGTCGAGGTAGAATCACAGGCCTTGATCGTGCATACCCCAACCCTTCAGCTTGGGCCTACTGCCCAGGGAGCTGAGAATTGTGGGTTTCCACTCAGCCTCTGAGCAGGCAGGAGCATCTCATGGCACCTAGAGTGTCCTTGCTGCCGTAGACCTGAGCATGGCCCCTTTTCTGTCCCCTGCCACACCTCAGCAGACCACATGTGTCTCCGGAAGGGTTGAAAGGCTCTGTGTTCACCTTCCGCAGATGCAGGACCCTGGCCAGTGCTTCCCTCCACCCTCCTTGGACACTCTGAGGCTTCAGCCTGTTTTAGCTCTTGATTCTAAATTGCCTCTCAGAGCCCAAGAACAGCTGAGGGCCGTGGCTACAGGCACTGCTCTGAGCAGCACATCTGCCTGGCTGTCCCCAGGCAGGTGGGGGCGGTGGCCCCAGAAGGCAGCTGGCAGGGCTGGGACTCAGGCCCCCACATCTGCTCTGAGGTTGCCTATAGTGACCCCTGGTGGTGTACTCTTGGAGTCCTGCTGCACACACCCTGACCCGGACACACCCAGCCTGCCTGTGGGCATGGACGTCCCTCACAGCCCCCTGTCCTGTCTCAGAGCCCATCTGAGGAACCCAGAACTGGCCCAGGAGCCCACAATGTCTGGCCTTCAAGTCCGGCATCATCTCTACCGCAAGACCCCCACCCGTCTGTAGGCTGCTCTCCCAGCTGCCCCCTCAACGGGGACTTGGAGCTGGTGGCCTCTGCACGGCACTTGGAACCCTGTACCCACCCGCCCACAAAGTCCCCTGGAGTTGTGTTAGGGGAGCCCACTGGGGCTCTGGCAGGTAGACTCACCAGGGGAGAGCAATTGCTGGATGCCTCCTGGGTTCCAGCAAGCAGGTTGCCCAGGCGAATATGGCCTGATGGGGCTCCTGGGGCCCCCCTGTTGGCCCCACGTGGTCCCATGACTCAGTGACATCACTCCAGAGACCTCAGCATGGAGGTGCACAGACCCCTGTGGGGAGGGGCACATGCCACAGGAGGTGCGAGCCGTGGTCTCAGCTGCCCGCTTGGTGTGTGTCCGCAGGTGGAGGCGGCACAGAAGGAGAACGTGGAGCTGAAGAGCAGGTGTGAGGAGCTCCACATGAGGAACCTGGAGCTGGGGTGAGTCTCGTGGCCACACGCCAGCACTGCCCTAGCTCCGCCCAGCCACGGGAGGCCACAGACGCTTATCTGCTCTCCTCCCGCAGGAAGATCATGGACAGGTTTGAGGAGATCGTGTACCAGGCAATGGGTGAGTGCCCCGGGTGCACACGCCTCCACCAGGTAGCAGCTGCTCCCTGCCCCCATCCCCCATCCCTGTGTGGTGTCCCTGGCCTGTGGGCACTCGGTGTGGCCAGGTCAGCCCAACCTCCTGAGATCCCACTCCCTGTCCGTGTCCCCTCCCGGTGAGGCTGTTGGGCCCCAAAATTCTTTAGACCCTGCACTGGCAGCCAGGGCAATGGCAGAGTACAGATGCTGTCTGTCTGACCCACCATGTGCTGACCCCACCAGGTGGCTGTGTCTAGCAGTGGCCTCTGTGGGTGTCAGGCAGAAACACCAGGCCTCACCTGGAGCATGGACTTGGGCTCCTGGTGACGTCCCTGTGGGAACCTGCCTTGGGTCCAGTGTTGGCTGGGGCAGGTGCTTTCCTGGTCCCTCTCATCTTTCCAAGAGCATTAGAGCCACACAACAGCCTCTCATAGGGTGTTCAGTGCCACCCCTCGCCTCGGGGACCTCTGCTGCTGTGTGCTGGGTTCCAGGCCCAGGGGCTCACCGTCCACACTTCTGTACCCCTGCGGAGCTAACGTGGAAGGCACACCTGTTTTCTTGGCCCTGGGAATACCACAGCGGAAAAGGGGGCTTGCCACCTTGCCCGACCATCTGACCAGGGGCCACATCCGCTGCTGCCACCTGCCTCTCCTCCTGCCCCCTGTTCCCCTCCCCCGCTTTCCTGACTGTTCCTGGCCCTGTGCCTGGGTTGTTCCTCTAAGCCCGAGTGCTTGCTTGTCTCTTCTCAAGAGGAGGCTAAGAAGCAGAAGGAACTTGGCAAAGCTGAAATCCAGAAGATTCTAAAAGAAAAAGAGCAACTTACTGCAGACCTGAACTCCATGGAAAAGTCCTTCTCTGACCTCTTCAAGCGGTTTGAGAAGCAGAAGGAGGTGATTGAAGGCTACCGCAAGGTGCGTCCCTGCTGCCCTCCTGTGCTCGCCTCGGGGGTTTATAGTCCGAGCTGATGAAGCCATATGCCACTCTCTCTGCACCTTGGTCCCTGCTGAGCCTTCCCTGGCTCCAGGACAAGGGGCGTCCCGTGAACAAGCCGGGCTGCTGGTGGGGGCAGGAGGACGAGTGAGCAGAGAGGACAGGTGGCCCAGGTCGGGGCGGGAGGTACAGCCATGCTTGTCTGCGTGAGATCCCGCCCTCCAGAGCGGGGCCGGGCTGCCGCAGCCCTGAGCCCTCCGCCTGTGTGAAGGATGATACAGCGGTGGTCAGAGGACCGTGAGAGGCAGGCAGGGCGGGGCTGAAGGGGGTCTCGGGAAGGAAGGACAAGCCTGGGCTGCCAGACCACATTGGTCCTGACAGGGTGGGGGCGCGGGGCACATGTGTCCATGTGGGGAGGCCTGAAGGAAGGACAAGGCTACCCAGGGGTCCTCTCGGGCACAGGCCACTGTGCCCGTTCTGCAGTGCCAGTCCAGCACCTCTGCTGGGAAAGGCAGACATGGTGCTCACTGGAAGGAGAGAAATCTAAAGGACCATCCATCCTCCAGAGTAGGCCTGGATGGTGCCCACGCGGCTGTAAGAGGTTTCTGCTCACAGAAGCAGTACTCGGAGGTGTGGTAGCTCACACCTCCCGTCGAAGCACTGGACCTAAAATATGCCTCTCAAAAGTTTTGGAAGAAGGCCAACTGGGCTGAGCCCGTGGTGCACTCGGGAGAGTGCGGCGCTGGGAGTGCAGCAGCGCTCCCGCCACGGGTTCGGATCCTATATACGGATGACCGGTGCGCTCACAGCGCTCACTGGCTGAGCACGGTGTGGCCGGTCTCAAAAAGGACAAAAAAAAAAAAAGAAGGCCAACTGCCCACTGCAGAGGGTGCAGCTGGAAGGGGGGCCTGTCGCTGTCCCTGTGGGGGTGGGGGGACTCACGTGGGCATTCTGGAGTCTGGTGGAACCAGCACCAGCAGCTTTTACGCCTACTGGCTGAGCCTCACATCTTGTCAGTCCTAATGTTGGGTGGGTGGCCAGTGGCCGGTCCCCCGTGGCCTGGCAGAAGCAGGCCTAAGCATCCCACGGAAGAGCACATCTTAGATCTTCAACTACTGCCACACATAGCATTGCCAGTGACATCTGGCAAAGGATGACCAGGTGAAGGAGGAGACAGGGACACAAGTGAAAGTCACAGACAGTCGATGGAAACAGACCCACAGCAGCTCCAGGTACCGGCGTCAACAGAAACAGGAGGCAGAGGAAGGCACCTCCCGGGTCTGCCACAGGCAGCAGGTGGACAGAAGCCTAGGCCCACCCCGAGCTGGTCCTCCTGTGGGGAGCATTCCCAGGAGTAGTGTTTCAGTAGAGACCTTGATGCTAGAAACGGACCCCATGGAAATCTGAACTGAGAAACACGGTTACTAAAGTTAGAAATCAGCGGATGCAGTTCAGTGCAGCTGCCGTGAAGGTTGCAGGGAGGTGGCAGGCACGTGAGAGCCAGTGTGCAGACCACAGGCCCTAGAGCAGGGCACTGCCGCAGCAGGGAGGCTGGGGAGCCACATGCCTCACCTGGAGACAGGTAGTCAGGAACTTTCCACAATCTAGACTCAAGACCACAGGTTTAGGAGGCAGGAACCTCCACAGAGCATGGTTTTTAAAGCACCCAGGAAATCAGTCTAAGTGCCATGTGGGTGGGGGAGGGGAAGGGGAGAGGCCATGGGATGGCGGGGTCGGTGTTCTTGGAAGACAGGGTGCGAGGCTGGGGGGTCCTGTGGGAAGAGGGCAGGGTGGGAGGAATGAGGGTTGGGGGTCTACTCTGGGGAGGCCACTCAGGGCCAGGAGCATGGGGGGGAAACTGCCGAGCTCCAGTGCCTCCTAGCCACACAGCCCTCAGCGGTTGGCTTGTAGCTGGGTGAGGTTCCCGCAAAGGACTGGGGAGTGGGGCCATGTATGGCCCTCAGGGCCTTGTCCAGATGCCAGGTGGTCACTTCTCGCAGGGGTGGGCTGTTGAGTGGTAACGTGCATGGCCCACTTTCTCTAGCAGAGCCTGGTGCCTGCATGTGTGTCTGCTGAGGCCAAGGGTGTGGTGAGAGGGGCCGCAGCCATGAGAGCAGGGGTTAGGCCCGGCGTCCCAGAGGGTGGGGGTCCACAGGCTACCTGGAGCCTTGGAGGGGTGGGCTGGGAATGTGTGTGGAGTGGCTTTTTCCAGGAGGGAAACCAGAAGTGCTCCTTTACTGCCACGTCCCAGAGAGCCCCACAGTCTGCCGTCTCCACTGACCCTGGGGGTCCCCAAACACCAAGCTGGAGGGTCTTAAACCAAACAGTGCTGTTAACAGTTAATGTCTGGGGCCGGCCTGGTGGCGCACTGGAGAGTGCGCCGCTTGAGAGTGCGGCGGCGCTCCCGCTGAGGGTTCGGATCCCATGTGGAGACCGGTTCCCGCTCACTGGCAGAGTGTGGAGCGGGTGCAGCACCGAGGGTTGTGATCCCGTTACCGGTCAGTAAAAAAGGAAAAAAAAAACAGTTAATGTCTGCTCGTTGCTAAGAACGAGGAGTCGCTGAAGAAGTGCGTGGAGGACTACATGACCAGGATTGAGAAGGAGGGCCAGAGATACCGCGCGCTGAAGGCCCACGCGGAAGAGAAGCTCGAGCTGTGAGTGCCCGGTGAGGGGTGCGGGTGGCAGGCAGGGGGATCCCCCGGGAAGGAGGGGCTCGGCCTCTGCCCGCTGCCCTCTGCCCTTCCAGGGCAAATGAGGAGATCGCCCAGGTCCGGAGCAAGGCCCAGGCGGAGGCCCTGGCCTTCCAGGCAAGCCTGAGGAGGGAGCAGATGCGGATCCACTCGCTGGAGAAGACCGTGGAGCAGAAGGTGGGCGCGGGGACCCCTGGGCCTGCTGCTGCCGCCCCTGAGCATGGTGCAGAAACCCAGCGATCTGTCTTTTCTCTTCAGACTAAGGAAAATGACGAACTAACCCGGATCTGTGATGACCTCATCTCCAAGATGGGGAAGATCTGATGGGAAGCTGGCAGCTGGCACTCCCTCTGGTCTGTCCATCTGATTCTTAGTTTTCATGTTCGTTCTTATGTCTTAACCTCATTTTTAAAATTAGATTGCTTTTGAATAAAGACTAAATAAAGTTTGCCGTTAAATTCTGATACTAGCCTGGCCTGGATTAAAGTAAAGGGTTCCCAACTCTACCCAAGGCTGGACTGACCTGCCACCGCTGCTGCCCCGTCCCTGATGAGAGCCCTGGGGTTCAGGTCAGCCACATGGTCTGGGGTGGGGGACTGCGGCTCTGCCTCAGGACCACAGATCAGAATCCAGATGGACCCAAGTTCTCATGTAATAAAACCAAAAACGACCAACAGCCGAGGTGTAACGGGGGCTCGCTTGCCAGCCTGGCAGGCCTGCAGCACTCCCTAGGTGCGGGCAGGGGCCACTGTGGGCAGGGTTCGTTAGCACCTACCGCCAGTGGTCTCGAGATCATCCTTGGTAATGCAGTGAGCCTCACCTATCGAGGGGCTTAAGAGCAAAACTTTCCCCTGAGGAAAGAGACTATAAATGGCAGCTCCTGCGTGAGTTTCTAGCCTGCGGCTGTTCTGCAAACCCCAACCAAGCATCACCATCGTGGGAGCCAGTCCCTAGAGGTGGGTCAGAGACAGAGAACTACTGGCCATTCTCTGCTGAATCCTGACTGATACTGGCAGACATTTGTAACTGTCCACAGAAGCTCAGTGTCTCTAGAGCAAAGGCTTGTAGAAGTAATGTCTCAAAGTGGGGGTGTCTGAGTCAACAGACCCTCCCCAAGTGGGCGTGGGGGCTGCATCTTCAGTGTCCCCAGGCCGGGCATGTGGCAGTGCTGCTCCACAGGAGGGACTGGGGTACATGCTCACATGGACTGGGCGCTGACCGCATGGCACAGTGGGTGGAGCTTGCAGGGTGGAGCTGGGAAGCCCCAGGAGCCCTTCTGAGCCAGCTGACCCGTTCTTGCCAGGCTGTGCTGCTGGGCACAACCACGTTGTCCTCGTCCTTGAGACGCAAGCAGAGAGAAGCACACCAGGTGCTCATGCTCAGGCCTGCAGAGGAACTTGAATGCAGCAGCATTTTATTTCATCAATAGGCTGTGGGGCCCCCACAGAGGGAGGGGCCCTGGCGAGGTCCCACCAATCTGGGTGCCTCCACGCCTCTCTCAAGTGGGGGCTGCAGTCCCAGGACCTGCCTCTTGTGCAGCCAGCGCCCCGGGATGATGAGCCTGGCTGCCACCAGGGGTCGCTGCTGGCCACAGGCCAAGGCTCAGGGACGGATCAGGCGGATGACGCCCTTGAGGGGAGGGGCTGGGGTGCCAAGAAGGCTTCAGAGGGTGCGTTCAGGAGCCCAGCTGCTGGGCAGACCTACTGTGGGACTCCAGGAGGCCAGAAGGGTGTCCACGGCCCCACCAGAGGGAGGGCCAGTTTGTCCTTAGCCCATTTGGAGGCAACTGCCTGGTACAAAAAGCCTAGGTGGGCTGCTGCAGAAATTGCTGGGCACAGGGACCCAGCCAGCCTCAGTGGAGGTCGGGGGCCACTGCGTGCCCCAGGCCTCAGGCCTCTCCCTTTCCCATGGCTCCCTCGGCTCCAACCCCATCATCTCCTTAGATCCCTGCAGATTCTGACTGGCCTCCCAGGACCATCCCATGCCCCGCCCCTGTACGGGGACCCCCGTCCCACCCCTGATCTGGACAGAAATGGGGTACAGTCCCACCCCAGAGGAGCTTAAGAACTGAGGGACCTCTGAGAGCCTGCCGAGGCCCACTCCACAGACAAGAAACAGTGGCCATTGCTGGGGAGAGTCCAGGCCGGGCACAGGATGTGGACCGCGCCCCTCCTGCCTGGGATAAGGTGGATGGGGGAGCCGCCGGGGCCGGGATGGATGAGGGGTTGGGGGGACCTCTCGCCTCCGGAGCTCACCAGCTGCCCTGTGGCTCGGATTGCTGCAGACAGGCCACGCCATACCTCCTCAGAATCCCCACCTGCCCACAGGTGCATCCAGCCAGTGTGCAGGGTGGCCACGTGGCTGCAGGACTCCCACCTTTTTGCAGGGTCGGTTTGCTCTGAAGAGGCCTCAGGAGACAGAACACTGGTTGCCTGGGCCTCTTCCTCACCCAGTTCTGCCCGCCTGACCTCTCCCATCCCCTCCAAGAGCTGCTCCAGGCCCTGCCCCCTGCTGGGGCCTCTCTGAGCCTAGCCAGGCGTCTGCCTAGAGAAGGCCACACTGGACGTGTTGGGGCAGCCGGCCTGGCCTGGGGCCACGCCGAGGACACCGGCCGCCGGGCAGCATCCTGGGCTGGGAGCCTCTCCCAGGACAAAGGGGCCTTGTGCAGCTGAATGGGTGTTTATCCTGGAGGCTAAGTTAACTCAGGCTGCAAAGCCAGGCGGGGTCCTGGGCACTGGCCTTCTGTGGGTAAACATGACCCGAGCTGGGCACACAGCAGCGGGCCTGGGCTTGCGCAGCCTTGTGTCCCCTGCACATCTATGCAGCCAGCGCCTCGTGGGCCTCCTGCCAGGGTGGGAGATACAGGGAAATAGGAAGCTGCTCAGAGGGCCACCTGCAGGCCTCATCGCTGAGCGGGAGGGAGCAGGAATTATCACTGAGGCAGCAGCGGCCATGGCCCCCCACCTTCCCAGCGCGTGGAAGAGAGGGTCACAGAAAACCCCCTGTGGTGTGTGGGCCATTGGTTGGGGGCCTGGCCTACCAAAGCCCACAGCCTGCAGTGGACTCCCACTGTTATGAAGTTAACGTGTCCCCTAAAATCCATGTGTTGAAGCCCAAACCTCCAATATGATGGTACATGGAGGAGGGCCCTTGGGAGATTAGGTTTAGATAAGGTCAGGGCAGGAGCCTGGTGGGGTCAGTGCACTCAAAAGAAGGGGAAGAGAACAGAGCTCGCTGTCTGCCACGTGAGGACACAAGGCGGCCATCTGCACGCTGGGAGGAGCCCCCCCTCCGGAGCCCCCCATCCCCCACCCCACAGGGGCACCCGGTCTTGGACTTCCAGCCTCCAGACTGTGAGATGCATGCGTGCTGTCTATGCCCCTCGTCTGTGGTCCTTTGTCATGGTAGCCTGAGCTGATAAGACCCCACCATCAGATGGGCTGCCTGGTCCGCAGCCCACCCACTGCCCACCCGCCTGCCCTGCCTCGAGCAGCCGCCGTGCCCATGCCACCCTCTGAGGGTCCATGTGGGACCATCCTGGAGTGGAGCCCCCAGCTGCCTCTTGGGCTGGTCAAGGCCCTTTCATCAGGGCAGAGTGGACGCTGGGTCTCCAAGGGCTCAGTCCCCCACAGCTCCTCCATCTGGCTTCCCTCCTCGGGGCTGCCAGCCACACGACTGGACTGGATAGGGATGGGGCAGAGTCTCCGTGGGCACAGAACAGGATGGGGGTGCAGCAAGGCTGCCCAGAACGACCCTCCTTAAGCTGAGCACCCCCTGTGGGAAGGACCCATGGGTGGTGTTGGTACCATGTGACCTGGGCACTGAAGCCAGGCTCTCTGCTCCTTCTCACCTGACCTTCGGGCTGCCCTGGGTGGGCTGAACCCTTGTCCCTTGTCCCTGTTGGGAGGTCCAAGTAGGGAGAGGCCACAGGAGGCCACCTCAGAATGACCGGTCCTGCTCCTGCAGCCACCAGGATTGGATGAGGCCAAAGAAGAGGTTTCTTTTTTTTTTTTTTTTTTTTTA